GCGTTGCCACCATATTGACGGCCTCTTTTACCGCGGCTCAGACTACTGCCTATGACTACCGCATACTGTACTCCTTCTCAGCCTGATTAATTTCACCTTAACTTGATTTCAACCATGGTAAACTGTTGCTGTATTGTGGGCTGTAACAGCTCAACACATGATCGCCATGGGAAAAACATAGAAAATGGGTTAACTTTCCACCGCTTTCCTGCCTGGAGGCGTAACCATGGAGACCAAGCGTCAGAGATAAAGAGTCATCGGCTAGCTTGGATCGCGGCTGTAAGACGACCGAAGATAACTTTCCACAGTATTCCAATGTCATTGAGAGTGTGTTCCCTGCATTTTCATTCTGGTAAGTTAAAGATGCACGGTTTTATTTTATAGCCTACTTTGTTTCTTTCCTTCAAAGTTGGGATCTTTTACGGGAAAATTTTAAAAAACGGCAGCGGGAAAAGGCTCAAATACGTGAGAAACCCGGAGGGTTGGCAGTTAACGTTACTAACTACACCTTTGAGACACATAGCAGCTAGCACTCATCGGTGCTCCACTCATTGTTTGGAACTTCATATGGATCCAAATTATTAATAATGCTGATTTTGTCAACATACGGTCCGTGGCTTCTCTATTTAATGTGTCCTGGTAAATTCCAGATCTTTTTCGGGATTTTGACATTTTTTTTCTCTCTACTTCTACATCTCTTCTTTCAACAACAACGTTGTATCAGAGCTACACTATATTGCCAAAAGTATTTGCTCACCCATCCAAATTATTGGAATCAGGTGTTCCAATCACTTCCATGGCCACAGGTGTATAAATTCAAGCACCTAGGCATGCAGACTGTTTTTACAAACATTTGTGAAAGAATGGGTCGCTCTCAGGAGCTCAGTGAATTCCAGCGTGGAACTGTGATAGGATGCCACCTGTGCAACAAATCCAGTCGTGAAATTTCCTCGCTCCTAAATATTCCACAGTCAACTGTCAGCTGTATTATAAGAAAATGGAAGTGTTTGGGAACGACAGCAACTCAGCCACGAAGTGGTAGGCCACGTAAACTGACGGAGCGGGGTCAGCGGATGCTGACGCGCATAGTGCGAAGAGGTCGCCAACTTTCTGCAGAGTCAATCACTACAGACCTCCAAACTTCATGTGGCCTTCAGATTAGCTCAAGAACAGTGCGCAGAGAGCTTCATGGAATGGGTTTCCATGGTCGAGCAGCTGCATCCAAGCCATACATCACCAAGTGCAATGCAAAGCGTCGGATGCGGTGGTGTAAAGCACGCCGCCACTGGACTCTAGAGCAGTGGAGACGCGTTCTCTGGAGTGACGAATCGCGCTTCTCCATCTGGCAATCTGATGGACGGGTCTGGGTTTGGCGGTTGCCAGGAGAACGGTACTTGTCTGACTGCATTGTGCCAAGTGTAAAGTTTGTTGGAGGGGGGATTATGGTGTGGGGTTGTTTTTCAGGAGCTGGGCTTGGCCCCTTAGTTCCAGTGAAAGGAACTCTGAATGCTTCAGCATACCAAGACATTTTGGACAATTCCATGCTCCCAACTTTGTGGGAACAGTTTGGAGCTGGCCCCTTCCTCTTCCAACATGACTGTGCACCAGTGCACAAAGCAAGGTCCATAAAGACATGGATGACAGAGTCTGGTGTGGATGAACTTGACTGGCCTGCACAGAGTCCTGACCTCAACCCGATAGAACACCTTTGGGATGAATTAGAGCGGAGACTGAGAGCCAGGCCTTCTCGTCCAACATCAGTGTGCGACCTCACAAATGCGCTTCTGGAAGAATGGTCAAAAATTCCCATAAACACACTCCTAAACCTTGTGGACAGCCTTCCCAGAAGAGTTGAAGCTGTTCTAGCTGCAAAGGGTGGACCGACGTCATATTGAACCCTATGGATTAGGAACGGGATGTCACTTAAGCTCATATGTGAGTCAAGGCAGGTGAGCAAATACTTTTGGCAATATAGTGTATGTTTACGTTTGCGTAGCCGTCAATATGACCGCGACATCCCACAATGCAATGTGGATCCCGAGCAATATTATTAGGATATTCCTGCAAAAAGGTCTGATGTTGCAGGGGAAGGTAATGAAAAGTGTTTGGAGCATGCTCTTGTTCTGATGCCAGTTTGTTTCAGCCTTATCCAGACCCCGTCCACGCGAAGACGAACCCTGGCCTAAACGCACAAATTTTTCACCAAACCAGCCTCTCATCCACACGAAGCCGGCGTTTCGGGGGTCTGTAAACGATCTTTTTTTTATTCAGCCTTCAGAGTGGGATGATTTCGAAACGCCGTTTTCGCGTTTCCATCTTTACGCCCTAACCGCATATTTTTTTTTACACGCATGCGTCATAGCGTCGCCTCTACACACGCATGCGCGACCAGTATCACAACAACAATGGCGCCGTTGCTAATGCTACTCACCCTGCTGTCGGGCTTACAACAGAATCTTCTTCTTCTGGAATATCTCCAGGAAGAACAGAGCAATATCGACGACATAGTTCAGCACCTGAATTTCACTTAACCACGAAAATGGACCCGCAGGGCAACCATGTATAAATATTAGTGCACATGCCCAACATTTCGTCGCTTATTTTTGCTTTGGCACCACAGCGCCACTTACAGGCCTGGCATACATTTTGCAGCGTTTTCATGCATTCGTGTGGACGCTTACATTTATTTTACGTCTCCGTCTTTACGGCAAACGTTTTGGAAAATATCAGCGTTTCGTGTTCGTTTTGACTTCGTGTGGACGGGGCCCCAGTCTCATGTAGAAGGGCTGGTCACATCACGGGTTATTTGCATTACAACAAGGACAGTTAGCAAGGTAGAGTGAATACACAAACTTGAAGAGGGGACGAGGGTTTGTAGGAAAACTGGAATTCTCCGGGACATCTAGTGTTAAAGCTAGTCATAAATCCCACCTTTTTTTTCTTTTTTTTTACTTACCCAGATGCATGTTCAGGTGCTGCTAATTCCTCATCAAACACACTCACTCACTCTCCTGTCAGGGACTTTGAAGTGCTTTAAATTATTTTCTGTGGGTTTCGTTTCTCTCAGAGCAATGTTTCTCATCAGAACTTTCTGGAACCACAGTAACTCTTGGCTATTTTTACTCCTGTGCTGGTCCACGCTTCATTTTGACAGCATTAGGAAACACTTTCAACTAGTTTCTCTCACTCTTCAGGAGTTTATGTTCCGTGTAGCAACATTCCAGAGGCCACAGGGAGCACTTGAGGTTAAACCGTGCTAACCAAACACTTTTAAGGCTGACTACCTTTTAAACATTTACTCACAGTCCAAGAAACACAGCACCAACACCTGCATTATTGGATCTGTCATTTCAGTTTAACACACTGACAAACATAATGTTTACAGTTCTTTGAGAAATGCAAGGATTTGTCATTGTTGTCTATTCAAATTTAAGTATAAAATAACATAATGTTTCAATTTTCCTTTCTATGACATCAAATTAGTGCCTATTTGTGATGCTGCACAGCTGCAGGACTTTTCTTAGAAAGCTGCATTTTTATACAAAAAAAAGCTGTCATATGTGGACGCATATGTGTATAAACACTGTATATATCCCATGCACTTTTTTCTCCTTTTGCACAATCTTCTTCTTTGACTTTTTGAGCTGATGTAACGAGTAAATTCCTCCACTGTCAGATCAAAAAAGCTAATCAATCAATCAACAGTGGTCACCAATCTTTTTGAAGCTGAGAGCTGCTTTCTGAACTTAATATACATATATTTATATATTCTATATTTGATACCCTGCACAATAGCTATATATATGTAAATAGCAATGTAATACCCTGTGCACTAACCCTGTATAATAATCCTGCTAAATAAGAGACTTCAGCTATCATATATATATATATATATATTCTTCTTTTGAATATTGAGCCAATGTAAGGAGTGCATTTCTCCAATGTGAGATCAATAAACTCAATCAATCAATCTGAATACCTACTGACTCATAAAAAGTACTACCGATCCCCTGCACTATGAACTGGAAGAGTCAGGGTTCGCCTAAACTTCTTGTATAATAAACATGACTTTTAAATTTCTTTTAGGTTCTGCCATTTTTAGATCTCTTTAAATGCAAGTTATTAAAAAGACGAGCAATAGAATAAAATACAATTTTATATGTATCTAACTGGTGATCTGTTGTTAGAAGAGGCCTGATGTTGCCTCGTGTGGCCTTTTTTGATGCCCTGCGTTGGTAACCAATGCTTCACAAGTATGAATTTAGGAGTAGAATGGTAAAAACAGTTGCTAATAACAAGATTCTTGAATGGGGATGGGGGTATGATGCAGCAGAAGTGGAAGGATTCTGTGAAGAACAATAGTACTGAGTGAACATAAATACTGAGGGAAGTGAGGAGAAAGACATAGCTGCAGGTTTGCACATCAGGATTAACTAAAAATGGAGCAGATGAATCAGAAAGTACAACCAAACCTATAGAAAACCTTTCACCCTGCCAGAGCAGATCACGTTTCGGACAGCATAGGGAGAACTAAACCTCTAAAAGATCTTTTTTGCAAACATTTCATACATCTCCGGATTGAGTAATGAATCAATATTTCATTTTTTTGTTTTTTACCCCTGTGAATATCCTTTTCATTAAATTAAAGATGATATTTTTCAATGTTTTATGGCGTAATATTATGCTATTGCAAAAAGTATTAAATCTTGCTGACATTTGAAACCATTAACAAGGAAAGGCGAGTAAATTTTTGTTTGTACCACATGTCTTCATGGGATCACACCTACATACAGTAATTGTTCCCTGATGGCAGGTGAACACACATGAGGCTTCACCCACGCTGTCAGACCACATGCTGCAGCAAGGGAACGTATTCCACAGTGTAAATTTGCATCTGCTCATGAACGGGGAGAAAGACTTTTGTCTGAAATGGCCATTTGTCTGTAATTTTATTTCTCAGTGCTTATGTCATAGTGAGGTGTCTGGTGTTTTTGTCGCAGGTGAACCAGGTGAGCAATGGGACAGAGACACAGAGTGGACGCCATTCTGCAACAGTTGACACTCCGAATCAGCAGCAAGAGGACAGAGACGGCTTCCAGCAAGCATCGAGGCACTACAGCTCCCTGCCGCGGTGAGACATCGGCCCTCCTCCCCCTCGTCTGTCTGTCTGTCTGTCTGTCTGCGACTCACCCTCCCTCTGACTTATCACGTCCTCTCTGCCCTTTCTCAAACACTTCATTTGACTTTTCTATCAATTTCATTTTCTCTCATGTTTTTTCCTGTTTTCTGAATCCCTTCATTTATTACTTTAGATGTCCTCAAAGTCATTCAACACAACTCTTTCTTACTCATCTGCAGACATTTTAATAGGTCTCAAAAACACTATTTAAAAAAAAATGAATGCTTTGAATAACAGTTATAAATGTTTTTCAGCCTGATTAAGTTAATGCCTTTTGTAATGAATAACAGCATATTGAAGGATTTAGTCTTGATTTTTATTTTTCTCCTCTGGTGTAACTTGAGTTCAGAGCTTCAAGGACCACTCTTCATCTTCTCAATCCATTTTCTTTCTTTTAGCAAATTTGTCAAAGAGGTTCCAATAAAGCTTACCATATCTTACATCCGGAAGCCCGGAAGGGCAGAACTTCGTATCAATGTTTGCTTTTGCATCTATCTCTCTCTCTAAAGTTTAATTTCCATTCCTCTGAAGCTTTCCAATCTCTCTACAGTCTCTTTGCACACTTCTAAGACAAGAATTGCTGGTTAAAAATCTGCACGTTTGAATGTTTAAAGATAAACTCCCTAAAGGCTTTAATTCAAGACGCCAACTGACTTCTGTGCAAATTAACTGCTATGATAAAATCGACATTATCACTGAAAATGTTCACATTAATAACAAACTAATGTGGCGTTTTGGTTATTTGGAATCTAGAGTCTTGGAAAAGGCTAAAGGTTATAGGATCCCTGCAAGTTAAACTCAGAGTATTTAATGTGGAAAAAAAGGATGTAATGCAGTTTGTCGTTTTTTTTAATCTTGGTTACCTTGTTCTCTTGTTTCTTTTGTTATGGTAAAGCACTTCTCTCTGCCGCCCCTGACCAGTCACAGCCGGATCGATTAAAACATGTTCCACTGTATAACTATGGATTTACGGTTTACATGGACACTTAATCAATTTGATCTGTATAAGCCTGTCTGATCTATGCGTTCCTTTCAAAGGTTTTATCTGCTGGCATCTCATGTGATGTGACAGTTGCCTCGAGGCGTCCGCCCAGGGAATTGTGTCTCTCTTGGGAAAGTTCAACTTGACCGGTCGGTGCGTCCTTTGATATGCATTCCTCCTATAATCTCATAGAGCAAATGAGATGATGAGTTCAGACTCGACACTTGACCCAGATCTAGAATTCTCAGAACCTGCCTCTCAAGGCAGGGGCTAGATACTCGCAGCAAGGTGAAGCAAGGTTTTAAAAAGTTTGGAGTTCAAAGCTGCTGACATTGTCGTGTCACATTGTTCCCACAGCTCAAAGTTTTTTAAAAGAGATGGCAGAAAAACAGTGTTGGAAAGAGCAGAGATTTCTCAATGTATGGTGATGTGGTGTTACTTTTCCCAACAGGTTGCTGTGCACTGCTGGTCAGCTGGGTGAATAAAGACTAGGATACTCTGAGTCCTACTCATCATTGAGATAACACTAATTTTAACTAGCAGATCGCAAGCTTTAAAAATCTGGAAATATGGTAAAACCCAACAGCTAGAAGCTAGCATTGTCTGAGCTTGACACTAAAATAAAATACAGGTGCTGGTCATAAAATTAGAATATCATGAAAAAGTAGATTGATTTCAGTAATTCCATTTAAAAAGTGAAACTTGTATATTATATTCATACATTACATACAAACTCATATATTTCAGATGTTTATTTTGTTTAATTTTGATGATTACAAATGACAACAAATGAAAATCTCAAATTCATCATATCAGAAAATTAGAATATTGTGAAAAGGTTCAAAATTGATGGCCCCTGGTGCCACACTCTAATCAGCTAATTAACTCAAACCACCTGCAAAAGCCTTTAAATGGTCTTTCAGTCTAGTTCTATAGGCTACACAATCATGGGGAAGACTGCTGACTTGACAGTTGTCCAAAAGACGACCATCGACACCTTGCACAAGGAGGGCAAGACACAAAAGGTCATCGCTAAAGAGGCTGGCTGTTCACAGAGCTCAGTGTCCAAGCACATTAATAGAGAGGCGAAGGGAAGGAAAAGATGTGGTCGAAAAAAGTGTACAAGCAAGAGAGATAACCGCACCCTGGAGAGGATTGTGAAACAAAACCCATTCAAAAATGTGGGGGAGATTCACAAAGAGTGGACTGCAGCTGGAGTGAGTGCTTCAAGAACCACCACACACAGACGTATGAAAGACATGGGTTTCTGCTGTCGCATTCCTTGTGTCAAGCCACTCTTGAACCACAGACAGCGTCAGAAGCGTCTTGCCTGGGCTAAAGAGAAACAGGACTGGACTGCTGGTGAGTGGTCCAAAGTCATGTTCTCTGATGAAAGTAAATTTTGCATTTCCTTTGGAAATCAAGGTCCCAGAGTCTGGAGGAAAAGAAGAGAGGCACTTCATCCACGTTGCTTGAAGTCCAGTGTAAAGTTTCCACAGTCAGTGATGGTTTGGGGTGCCATGTCATCTGCTGGTGTTGGTCCATTGTGTTTTCTGAGGTCCAGGGTCAACGCAGCCACATACCAGGAAGTTTTAGAGCACTTCATGCTTCCTGCAGCTGACCAACTTTTTGGAGATGCAGATTTCATTTTCCAACAGGACTTGGCACCTGCACACAGTGCCAAAGCTACCAGTACCTGGTTGAAGGACCATGGTATCCCTGTTCTTAATTGGCCAGCAAACTCTCCTGACCTTAACCCCATAGAAAATCTATGGGGTATTGTGAAGAAGAAGATGCAATACACCAGACCCAACAATTCAGAAGAGCTAAAAGCCACTATTAGAGCAACCTGGGCTATCATAACACCTGAGCAGTGCCACAGACTGATCGACTCCATGCCACGCCGCATTGCTGCAGTAATACAGGCCAAAGGAGGCCCAACTAAATACTGAGTGCTGTACATGCTCATACTTTTCATGTTCATACTTTTCAGTTGGCCAACATTTCTATAAATCCTTTGTTTTTATTGGTCTTCAGTAATATTCTAATTTTCTGATATGATGAATTTGAGATTTTCATTTGTTGTCATTTGTAATCATCAAAATTAAACAAAATAAACATCTGAAATATATGAGTTTGTATGTAATGTATGAATATAATATACAAGTTTCACTTTTTAAATGGAATTACTGAAATCAATCTACTTTTTCATGATATTCTAATTTTATGACCAGTACCTGTACATCCTTCCAGCTATAGCAATTTTTCAGACAAGGACAGCAAACAGAAAACAGTACACTGATTTGGATATAAACTTGATTTTTGTTTTTAAAGGTACACTATGCAACCGGTGTTGATTTTCCAGCGAGGCTCCCCCCACAGGGTGAAAGTAAAAGTGCACTGTCGTAAATATGCACAGCTGTTCTCCTGGTTTCTCCGTCAAGCCAGGCAGGGTTGTTTTGAGCTTAGCAGACAGGCGAACGCAACGAATGACTAACACAGTGAAAGTATGAACATGCACACAGAGAGAGAGTAACCATTCCAATGTTACTTACAATCGCATCAGTAGAAACGCGAGGTCCGCGTCCGCCTTGCAGCCTTCTTTTTCTTTTAGCTCTCGCCATTCGGAAAAAGCTTGCCCGATGTTCACCCGTGTACGACTCCTCTCTCTGTCCGGAGCCCTTTTCCTCTTTCTTGCCTGCTCCGACATGGGCTTTCACTGTTTTCACGCTGGTTCCGCCATGATAACTGCACAAAGATCGCCACTGTGCTAGCAACGAGCATGCTTTTATCTGGGGGCGTGTAGCAGTTCTCGCCGTAAAGCAAGACCGACTCTCGCGAGACTTCTGAGCCTGTGGGTGCGGGCCGAGGGCTCCTGCAATTGCAAGTGTGGTATTTCCCCTACAGACCACCAGGGCGGCCGAGAATACCTTTGTTCAACCTGAAATGACTCATTTAATCATCCAAAACGTTATGGAACACATTAATTAACTAAAAAATGTTGCATAGTGTGCCTTTAATTATAAAGAAAACTTCTAGCTAATGCTAGCGAATTGCCTTGTCTTACAATTCAAAGGGCTGCAATTAGTTTTAACAAAAATTTCAATGTCTTTTGATGTTTTTAAACTTTTGTTACAAGCCTGAATCAGCAAACTTTTCAGGAACTGGTGTAGTGATACTGTATAGTTTGTTTGTTTTTTTATTTAAAAGCAGTATTTAATCCAATTCAATCCACTTTATTTACAAATCTAATTTAACAACAAATCATTTTTGTGTTTGTTATAACCGTTTTGACTTCAAGATGTGGTGGAAGATGTGTTTTTTTCCGAGTGGATCATCAAAATAAGTGGTCCTCCTAACTGTCAATCATTCTGGTGACATGTTTATGTAAGGCCGTCCTACGTGTTCATCCCCATTTTCAATTACTGGTGGTGAGTCTGACATAGTGGAAAAATTGCAAATCTTCTTTTGGAAAATAAGCTTGTATGAGAGATGCTAACAGCAGCTTTTAAACAGAGCGTGCACAAGGAGAAATGGACTCGTGCACGCCCTCACACACGTTTAATAGGTTTTCCCTCTCAGAGGTGGGTACAGGGTTGTGCATGTGCATTTTTTTTTTTAAGTGGAGAGGGCAAAAGTTTAAAAATTTGCAAAAATCCTCCACTGTATCTTTAAGTGTATGTGTCAAAATTAAATGAAGATAAAATGTTTCCATTTTTTTTTTTTTTACAAAATGTTACCAGATCAGTAGTAGGATTATTTTAAGCAGTTAGCATTGCTATTTTGATTCCTTTTTTGGATAAATATTGAAACCACATTAAACGTCATCAATGCTTAAATGCTTTAAATGCTTTATAACCACAAACTTATCTGTTTTGGCCTATTACCCTGTACAAGGCATATAAGGACAGCCCCCATTAGAAAGAAGAAAAAAAAGAAATCAACAACTCAAAGAGCTTCCAGAAAAGCC